GAAGAGTTCAAAGAGGAAAAACTAAAAAAAGCCAAATCATGGATAATGAAATGGGGTGTTGGTTTTACACTTGTCATCGTCATATTGTGGCCTCTACTTTCTCTTCCGGCAGGTAAATTATCTTTGTAATTGTATGCACATTTCTATATAGCAGAAGATGCCAATTAATTGACCGAGTAACCTGAAACTTTGCTTTTACCAGAGAGGAAATAACTATTGCAGTTAACCTTTTGCTTTCTCTGGCTTGTTTTACGTGTCATCTAAGTCAGATTCTGTCTCTGATAGTAAAACAAAATAAAATGTACTGGTTGCAAACGATTAGCTTAGGAATTTGAAATGTCCTTCGATTCTAGTAGGGACGAAAGCAGCTTTTCTGGAAGAGTCTTACTTATATTTTACTCATTTTCTTCCACCTCTTAAATTTTAATGCAGGGGAGTTCAGCGTAGGGTACTTCACCTTCTGGGCCGTCATTGCTATAGCATGGGGCACCATTGGATCGGCAGTGATTATTGCTTTACCATTAATTGAAAGCTGGGAGACCATAAAAAGTGTCTGTGTTGGCATGTTTACAAATGATAGGCTCATGGAAAAAGTTGAGGAGATGAATTTCAAGCTGAATAGTATTATGCTGGCAATACCTGAAGCAGAGAAGGCATACTTGCTTGAGAAAGACAAGGCCAAATAGAGGAAGCAATAAGCCTAAGGCGTTTTCACCCGGCAACATTAGCTTACAACCCTATACCCGTTGTCCGGATCGCAGTGACCAAGCAACTTTCACACTTGGAGCTACAAGATGCATCCTTATTTGAGAATCTTATGGGATACTGCTTCATTCAAGGTCATCTTGTGGCATGAAGGAAATAAAGAGTTGAGTTGAGTTATGCATTCATAAGTACCACGTTAAAAAACCGATGGATAATTTAAGTAGAGAAAACTTTAAAATATGTTTATGTGTCTATAGAATCAAGATCTTGTCCAAAGTTTAGACTTGAAGTTCCAATTGTATCCATATGCTTAGAATGTCAAGAAAAAACAATTCCATGGCACAATTGTGTATGGATAGATAAAAATAGAAATTTTGTGCTTGAAAAATTATCATTTTTATTGTTAATTTTAATATTATTTTTTCAGTTGATAGGATTTATATTATATTATAACTAACACAAAATCCATTCAAATAAGAGGAGGAAATGAAGAATGAACGCATCATTTGCATAAAGTAAAACCATATCAATCAATACAACAAAAGCACCTGTTTCTATACCCAAACAATTCGCAGCTGAACATACATTCCCTGTATACCTTTCTATGCATTACATTTTTATAGTATTACAAGTTTCTTTCACTAGCAGCTACCTATCTATCATCAAACTTTTGTATATTCATCTTTACGGAGATAAAACTTTCCAGGTCAGAGATTATTATCGTTTATGAGTTTGTTCAAGAGAGTGGTTAACAAGGCATCCCTTCTCTCAGCCCGGCTCTCTTCTCTCAGCCTCCTCTGCTCCTCCCTCTCCCTCCAAGCCTGTTCGACCATCAACCTCTCCCTCTCAAGCTTCTCCATTGACTGCCGCCATTCCTGCTCAAACAATTGTCTCTCGCGAGCACG